AAATTCTGAATTCTGAACTTCTGCGCAATTTTCGTGAGTATCGCTCATTTGCTTTTTCGTTTTAAGGGTTAAAACCGGATTGCCCAGCAAAGCGAAGGTTTTTGAAATGAAGAATGCGTCTTCCATTAGTATGGTCGTTTATTAGGTCGAGATATATGATCTCTCCGTCGTGATAATTATTTTTTTTGCTAGATGAATAGCCAATACTGAACTAATTGGGTGTGAACTGTATATGCGGTATTCATATGAACTCTCTTAGATCTAGACTTAAAACCTTCTTTGAAATGGGATCCAATTTTCCATTGCTGTTTCATGACTGTACTTTCAATTTTCGCGAACTTCTGCCATTTAGCTTGATTATGAAGCTCTCTGCGAATCGCACGGGTTTGTGGACTTGACGAGATATTTGCTGGAAAAGTTCCAAGTCAAAGTATTAAAGAGGTACCACGAGGCGCTGTCCGAAAGAACCAAGGAACTAGAGGCTGCACTCCCGTCCCTAAGGAAACTGTTCGGTTTGAAACCGTCGTTCATAAACGAAAGTGCGAAATTTCTAACTTTCTTTCGTTTCGACAAGTATATTGTTCACGTGATTAGTTTGCTTCTTTCAATAGGAATCAAAATATTGGAAGCAAAATCAGAAGAGGCGCTCAAAGAGCCACATGAAGACATTGATGAGATGCGGCAGGAATGCTTAGCCAATCAGAGGATGATCACGGAACTCACAAAAGAACGTGAAGAACTTAGCATGTAATTATTCGTTTGTGGTTGGACATTGCACAGTTGCATAATGTGTAATTCTACCAAACTTCGTTCACTGCATTATTGCACCGCTCACTGCTATGAAATGTTTAGTCGGTCATCTAAGGAGGCCTCCGTTTCTCACTACTGTGCATCCTGCAGTGGTCTACGCATTTATGTTCATCATCTATGACTATTTAGAAGCGTTTCTCTTAACGTTCTGCTTATGATTTTTTTCTCATCTTTCCCTTTATTCTCCTTTTCGTATTGTTTTCTTTTCTTTTCATATCTTTCCCTGCATCCTAGTTTTATCGCTTCGCTGATTGCTATGTTCTTCACTTAATTTAGTTTACTTCATTTAGTTTTTTATGTCCTCCGCATATACTTTTCGCAGTGTATTTTATTTAATATTTTGTTTCTGGCATTTTAATGGCTGACATGTGCTGTGAAGAAGACGGGAGGAATAACTTGCTCCTTTTGATATTTTACTCGTCTGAAGCAGTTTACGTTTCAGTTGACAAGGCTGTTTAACTGATGCTTAGTTTGTAACTCGTTATTAGGCAAACAATAAAGAGGAAGTTTGAAGAAATGATGCACACTTCCGATTCCATGTTGGGAGACGAAGAAAGCCAACTGACGATGAAATATGTAATACAGAACGAGAAGATGGCCGACTTCTACACTCAGTTGGCACCATGGACAGTCGAGGAGTTTTCACGCCGTGCCGTGACGCTTCGGCAATGGCTGTTCGACGTCGAGTTTCTGTTGGACGAAAATTCAGCTCCAGGAACATACAGTTTCCAGGATTTTCGAATATCTGCTCGAGAAGGCAAGAAATTCGTTCAGATGCTAATTTGTTTCTCGTTGTACTACAACAAAGAAATTGTGTGGTTCCCATCTAACACCTATGAGATCGAAATCGGGGTTACGCCTTTTGCCAAATATTACGCTGGATAGTCAGCTATCAGATGGGCCAGTGCGAAGTGCAACCACAAAGGGTGATCGCATTGGATAGCGTGGCCGTACATTTCGTCATTCTGATATTATCGTTCCAGGTTACTATGGTGTTCCTATTGTTCGCTAGTCAACGACTTGCTACCCGTTTCTCCGCTGATTGCACCGAAGCAACATTGGGTCAATTCTTTGCTCAAAGGA